ACTTTATTTAATAATTATAACTTATGTAACTAAATTATTTTATAGCATAATTTTAGATCACATCAACTCAAACATAATTTTTGAATAATGTTAAATACAGTATTAATTTCATATTAAAATCACCATACACTTGTTTCTAGTACAATTAACATAATTAATTTGCATTTATTTGTGAACAGACCATATTAAATATAAGGAGCGTTTTGTGCTATTAATACTGGATCTCAAAACTGAAAACATGCCAACAATTATCAAAAGTATGGCCGGAGAAAAACTATTCCACTCGTTGCTAGAGCACCTATTTAACCATGGTTACGTGTTGACCAGGGTTAATATCTTACTCACGATACAACGGGTCACCGACGAGCCCCTTATGGACGGCTTTATGGACGCCATGGATAGTCTCGGGTTAAGTCACTTAAACAAACACATTGGTTGGGACGTCAGCGCCAATGAAGCGCTGGATATCATAAGTAAGCATGTATTATTAGCATAAAATCATGGTTAACAAAGATTATATAATTGTATCAAGGTACAATGTATCACAGACGGCTACCCCGTACGGCCAACGTATGGCAGAGCGACGGCATAACCAATTGTGTCAGTTTTATTTACCCGACGGACAGACTCCGGGCGGCCATACAATTGCGCGACCAGTTTCGCAGGCCATACATGAACAAAGTGTACCGGTGGACAATTGATATGCCATTTGTGGTCAGGGACACTTTGAGGTTTATTTTTCACACTAGTTACAATTAATTTTATTTTAATATAATATGTTTAACTTAAAATAACTGATATATTATTTAATTAAATAGGCTAGGTGTGGATGGCATACTGACAAACTACCCTGACCGAGTAGCCACCATATTAAACGAGGACGAATTTTACAATGATCTACGTCTGGCCAATCACACGGACGATCCCTGGGCTAGATATGATGGCCCACATCGATTGAGTCCGCCGACAAACCACCTACAACGATTGCACAATTTATACTCTATATTAATTAGTTTAGGTAGGAATTAAGCAATTTTATTTATCATCATAATTATTACGACAATTATAATTAGTGTACGTGTAATAAAGGTATTTATATTTGTGTGACGGATATAACAATTAAATATTAATTAATTCAGTTTTGTTTGTGTTTGACTCGAAATAAAGTATTTATTTATTAAAAACTATTTTAAAATAAACTAGAAAAATTTTGTGAACTTCTACTAGATTAAGCAGATAAATACCCTGTATAATTATAATTAAAAATGAGGTAGATTGTTTATAACTCAGTAGTTTTAGCCTCATCGGTCGGGGCAGCGACCGCGGGCTGTGACTCGGCCTCAATGGCCTTATCCTCAACAGGTTTCTGGGCCTCAGCCACGTCTACCACGGGCTGCGCGGCCACCGACTCGACCATCTTATCCTTGGGCTCGAGCTGTACGTCGGTCTCGAGCTTCACGTAATCGCTGCTCAAATCCCACAACTTCTTGGCCATCACGTCGTCGGACGCCCTCTCAGTCAGAAACTCTACCCTCTCGTGATTTCTACCATAAAGTATTATTACAACACAAATATTAATTATGATCACCATGACTACCACAAACAACCACGCTCATTTCATACCTATAATAATGACCAGATTCGTTTTTGAACTTGTCCTCGAGGGCCACGTATAGCACTCCCTGAACGCCGATATTATTGACCGACATTTTGTGCAAAACGTCACTAAATATATAGCGATTGGAAATGCGTTTACGGTTTCGCAAAACACCCGGATTTACGGCATACACATGAATGTCGGTCTCTTTCACACGTTTGGCCAGCTCTCGGGTGAACAGCACCTGGGCCAATTTGCTCTGGTTATACGCGGTTAGGGGCAGGTAGAAACCTTTCTCATAGTTCACATCGTTTATATTAATGGAGCCAAAATGATGGGCTACTGACGACACGTTAATAATACGGGGACTCGTCGACTTAGCTAGGTTAGGAATTAACAACCTGGTAACTAAAAAGTGGCCTAATAAATAAACAACAAATATACATACATTAATTACAAAACACTAGAAACAATTATAAAAACAATAAAACTAGTTGGAAATTGTCTACAAAAAACTTACTAAGGTAATTCTCAACAAAATTTCTCTCGAAACCGTCCTTGGTGATATACTTTTTATCGCTAAACTCGTCGCCACTGTTGACCAACAGATCAATCTTCGGCTCCTGTTTAGTGACCACATCGGCGAACAGGCGGACAGAGGCCAGCGATGACATGTCCAGACTAATCGGGGTAATGTTGGCAACAGCGCTCTCGTTGGTCTGTCTGATAATCTTCAGCACTCTCTCCATGGCCTCCACGTCAGTCACGCCCATAATTACCTTAATTAAAAACACAACATAAATACCACAACACAGTAATTAATATTACAACAACTCTATCCCATACCTTAAAACCAAGTTTACTCAACTCGATGGCGGTATCCCTGCCGATGGCCTCGTCAGCGCCGGTAACCACAGCCACCTTACCCTCCAGACGCTGCCTGTCCTTCAGGTTGAGTGGGTTCGCGGGCATGAGTTGTTTGTTGACGGGTCGCAGATAGTCGCCAAACTCGCGTACAATACCCATAAATGTTTGAAACCGTTTATAAGAGTCGGGAATTTCAGGTCCGGAGCCGTCGAGACTGGCCGACCCGTCCGGGAACGGGACTTTCCAGTGCGGGAACATCGGCGCCACGTAGTCGTTGTATAGGCGCATGTGAGTGGTCAGTACGGCCCGGAATAGCACTTGAAACACACAGGTCATTGTGTTGAGTAAGTCAGCTAGCTCGTTCATTGTAAAAATGCAATGTTGAGCTTGTAGTATTTTTTTCTCAAACACCCACCCTCTCTCACTGGCAATTAAAAAAATTGTGAATGAAGTTAGTGATATTTTTTTAATGTTTAACAAATTATCATGCTAATAAAATGTATGTGTGTTTTTTTCTCTGTAGAGTTTATTGTACCTATTATTTTGAATTTGATTTATCCCGGATATTCCTATTAAACACAATTTGTACTTAATTTGTTAAACAATTTAATGCAAAATACATTAACCTTTATGCTATGTATTATAAATTGTGCATAAAGTATATAAATAATTACAATAATTAAATAATTTAATTAAAAGAATTTTTAAACATTAAATTAAAATATTTATTTATTAGATATATTTTACATAGTAATAGTAACATTAAAATACAATACACAATACATTTAAATAAAATAAATAAATAAATTTACAAAAAAATATAGTTAAAAATTACATTAATTAAACATTACATATAAAATAGGCTACAAATAGTAAAACAATAAAAATTATAGCGACAAACATAACTAAATCGGTAATAGTTTTATAATTACCAAAACAATCATTAATGTAATCATTATTTACATCATAAAACTCGACACAATAGTGAGCGTACAGTCTGTCCAAAAAATTATTATACTTTTGCTTAATTATGTGTTGCGTTGAATAGCCATCACATCCCTGACCGGTGGACAGTACGGCCCGGAGATCGCAGGCCTGTGCCCGCCATACTGTGCACACAATACTGGCGCAAAACATGCTGTTATTTCGGTAATCGGGGTAAAATTGTTTCATCACATCCCGTGTGTTAATCAGAAATTGCTTTTCGCATAAATTCAACTTTTGATTTACATTTGCATTAAAGCATAAATCATTGCCATTAATATCACTGCTATTATTGTCATTAATATTATTTGCATTGACAACGAAATAGTCTTGTAATTGCTGTAAACGATAGCAATCAATACAATTGTACGACAATATAGTTGTTGTATATATAATTAACACACATTTAATTAATTCAAACATGATTTTGTTAACCGCAGATATTGTTAACATTGAAATTACATAAACACTGAGAAAATCACTGAATGTCAAGATTATTAGCACATGAAGAGAGTGTTTTGTGTGAAAGTAAAAACCGAGAGATAAAAACGGTTTTTATGTTTAGGTGTTTAACAGTTATATATGCAGTGTTTTAACACATTTTGGTGCTTAAAAATCATAAGTTATTTTTGCACAAAACGTAATCTCATAATCTTTTTACACCCAAAAAAGTGTTCACTAATTATAGCCCAACTCATGATTTTTACGGCATTTAAATGACACTAAAAATAAACATTTGTTAGTTTGAAACACTTATTGTAGGCATCCGTGAACTTGCCTTCAAAAACGCTTTGAATTACTTTTGTATTTTTAAAATCATTATACACAGATTGAGGTTTATCAAACAATTAATGTAAATTATTTAACAAAAAAACCAGAAGACTCACTTAAAAATTAATTATTATTTATCTATAGAAATAATATAAATTCATATTTATATTAGAATTGCATTTAGATAATTTATATACAATATTTTGTATTAAACATAACCTTAATCAAAGTAAAAAATCACCAACATAACACGAAAACACACAAAACTACATTAATTAAACAAAAATTAAAAAAACCAAACTTATTTATTGCACCACGATTAAAACTCAAATCACAAATCGGTGAATTAGGACCATATTCAGAACACTTATCCTCCACATCGACCTTAATATAATTTTCAACGGGCAGCTCATCGTAAAGGCGGGCCACCCGTTGGCCGCACGGGTCGAGCCGTT